ACCACACCAGCACCGGATTTCTGGCCACATGATTCCCTGTCCTGCCGGTACAGGTTAAATCCGTCAATGGACACCAACGCGTCAGCAACATGAGGGTTCAGCCAAGATTCTTGTATACAAATCAGACAAGTATGAACGTGAATCCGGGAACGGAGAACAAGTGATAAATCCGAGATTTTCGTGAACAATGAACGTATGTTCGTACTCAGTAGTGATGGGACGGACATTTTTGACGGAGGGGTGCAGTTAAGAGCAACTTGCCATCCGGCCCGGTTGTGCTTTTTGTGTGAATTCCGAAATCCGAGAGAATTGAGTGTGGTTGAATCAAATTGTGATGTGAATCCCGTTAGGGTGTTTGAGTAGAAGTATTTCCGATCTGGTATATCGACGAACAAATGCCATAATTATGACAAAAAAACCTTCAAATTTGATGAGATGTGATAACACGAGATTGTAGCGCAGCCAGTCAAAGGGCGCGCAATTCTTGGCGAGCTTTATATCTTTACTCGTTGTCTTCTACCGTACCTTTGGCCTAGCTATGTAGTGATTAGTTCGTTGTGGATAGGTTCAGACGAACACCAGTATGGAGATTTCTTGAACCTTATGTGGCTAATTCACTGCAATTGGTTCCAAATGGCTGGGTTCACGGTTCACGAAACGGTAAATGTATTTTCATTCTCTAATTAGTCATATCGAATATAAACTTCCCACTTTCAATTACAATATGAATGACTATTGTGCCATTTCGTTTCCAATTACATTTCGGTTTCCTTATTCATTTGATCAAACCATGGAAATCCCACTGAATATATATATCTTACCTCAATCTCCAATCTATCCGTTGGCAACTTGTCTGCTCACGTACCCTGTTCCTTGTGATTTCAGAGGAAGTCATATTGGCCGAGGATACAACAACTGCGGAAGAACGACTGCGCATTATCGCAGGTAGGCGTGTGATTTCTCGGCGCGGATGATCGAGGATGGTGTCGATGAGATGATTTCAATTTTCTTAGCTTAAGGTATCACGTTTTGATTAGTCCATTCGACGTTTTAGAGGCACCAGGCCCACTTGCTTGCCCTGGGTAAGAGTTTCATTCCTTGGGACATCGTTAATTCCCCACTAAGTAATTGCATTTAAATGCGATGGAACTTATTGTGGTGACAGACAAAAAGCACTCGATAGCTGTTTCGTCCTGTTTGGGACTCCACAGCAGTGCATACTCCATGCGTCCCTTTGTCGGTCCCTGCGTCGCTTTGATTGAGCCACTCACACAAGTTGCTGAACATCAACCGGGTAGCTCAGGGTTAGGAATGTGAAGTGCCGACCCGAATGTTCGCGATTCGAGTCCCGATAGGGACACAAAGAGTACGCACTGCGGACAAGTCCCAAACAGAACGGGACAACCGTCGTCATAAATATTTTCATTGTGTTTAATTGTCTTAATTATTTTATATACATGGCCCTATGAGGAGTAGTTTGACCGAGACATTGGAGCCGTTGCAGAAATACTCCTCAGTTCCTAAGGAATTCTGTCGATCTAGAATTTAGGAAAATGAAGAAAATGAGAGTCTTGTTCCACAAGGATGAAGCAAGCATAAGTTAAACTAAGGCATCAGCAAGCACCAAAATTGATAAAAATTTAAAACGAGGTTGTGACCATGATAACTGGTATGCACATTTATTGGTGATTCGAGCCTCCAGATATCATCAAACTATAGGAAGATGGACACGNTTCTAAGCCCAAAAGGGGAGGGGTTGTGGAGACGTATGCAATTGCCTCGACTGTTGAGAAAACTCAGAACTTGACCTCTTTGGGTAACTTTCCTGACCAGTATAGAGAGAACGAAAAGCATACATTGATTGCATGGTTAGACTCAATTGGCTCCTTTTCAATCGTTCAGTTTTAATGTTCAGTTTGAAAAATGATTATAACCCAGTTACATTCCATTGCTTAATGATCGGTTCCTTGTGGCTTTTTGCAATAACCTATGAAATGAAATACACGACAGAGCCCGGTTTCGCGCGAATGTTTGTGCCTACCTGTACGCCTAGCATATATATATATATATATGTATATATATATATATGGTTATACAGTTTACTGTAATAATATGCATATAGATCCCTTTACACAAAATAATCTAACAGACCATTTGTAGGAAAACGATGTCTACTGAACTCTCAATCTGAAGGTCGTTAAGTTCGATCTCATCCAACCCAATATTCTGTAACCTTAATGGCTTGTCGCAACTGCGAAACAGATCTTTTAGCTGCTATTCAGTACACTAAGATGTTCTATATTGAATGTCTAAATGGGTTGTTCACACGTATTACGTGAGTTAAATGTATGTAAACGGTGAATAGTGACTTACTTTATCTGTTTTATGTTGCAAAATTGTAGCGTTTTCCACACACTTAAGCTACAATCGTATATTTCGTTTCTCGAAAACGGAAAGTCTAGGGATATTCAGGCAGAATTTGATGAGCATAATCCGCATTTAACAATCATGCATGCTCTTCTACACCGTGCTCTATTCTAGCTCGTCGAAGAGCAGAAAAACAACGCATCAAACTACACGGTAAAGAATCCGGCCAGATGGATGTGGCACCCGAGGAAATGGAATATTTCGAAGAGTCAAAAGGTAGGCGATTTCATTCACGATACTGGAGAAAGAATGTGACTCATTATACTAGGTCCTTTGATGTTTGCGGTAACCAAACGTGAACGAATTCCACGGAAAATGTGCGTATTTTGTGGTAGTTGATCAATCTTTCTCATATCAAGGATGCGTATGGATTAAGAGAGCCTATTTTTGACCCTATTCTTTTAGTTATGCCCCCTGTCCAGAAAGCAAGGGATGAAATGTTCCTAATGACTTAGAAAAGTATTCTTTTTTTCCCGATAAAATTAAACTAAAACCTCATTTTGAAAAACTGAAGCTTAACAATTTAAAGTCAGACAAGTTGCCAACGGTGTGAGTTAACCGTACGCATCGTTCATGACTTGAGCATAATCAGATGCGGCAACAGTTTCATATCATACTTCATCTACCCATTTCTGTTCAGTTGGATCTTGTGACATGTGGCCTGTTGTGTTTAGTCTGTTCTCTTCCGGAGTGCATGTATCGTTTGTTGAAAAACATTTTATGCTATCTCATTAAGTTTAGATTGGTCTATTCGATTTCACCGGTTAGGATCAAGGGGTTTGGGGTGTGAAAGTGACTCCGATTGAGTTTGTCTACTTTTCTAACAGTTGAGATGCTTTCAAATAAATAAGTTAACGAAACCCATGCACAAAATCACAAGCACTGCTCTCCTGCTGCCTATGAAATCAAATAAATTCATTTAACCAAACATTTCGTAAATGCAATCAGTTCCCTTCAACATTTTCATGAAAGCAAGGATGAGCATCACGATCACAGGATGTATTGAATTCAACTAATTCGTGGTAATCGCATCCAAGCTTTAATCCAGTTCAATAACCGGATATATAGTGGATTGCAAAGAATGTGAAAATCCTAGGGACGACTTTCGTGTCTTGATCCGCTAGAAAGATAGCCGTCTACTACGGTTCACTAAAGCAGCTGCCATTCGACGACACAAACCCGATTTATGTAAACCGACCGAATTAGTGACTAGCCTCGCGATGCCCTGATAGGTGTCACTGTTCTTGTCCTCCCTTTCCCCTCTCCTCACCCTGCAGTGATTCCGCTCCCTGTCCCTGTGTCCAATCCGGTTCAGATTAGTGACCTTTATCCTTCGTATTGATTGATTTCTCCTCCCGTGTTCGTTCGCCTGTCCGCAAACCTGTCAATCTTTTAACCAAACGTGATCTGAGTGTATGTACACAGATGATGAGATTACCTCGAGAGAGTTGAATTCACACACCCAGTGATCATGATGCTTCTTCTTGCTCTAATGAAAATTTCGTAAAGATTTTTTTCTCATTTTTCTCAAGGTACAGGTCAGGTGGTGTGATTCTCAACTAGAAATTGGGCGGCTCAAGTGTGAACAAGGACACAAAACCTATGCACGCTTGAGCAGTTTCAACAATGAGATAAAACCAACTGTCCAAGGTTGTCTGTCCCTATCACCACTAAAACGAGTTTATTTAAGTCAATTCATAGATATTTATTTTTAATATTCATGTGTCCCGGACATCGTATTTGGAATAGAAAAGGCCTCGATCTAAGGGGAAGCAATGAAATGCGCAAAACAAGGGAGACAGTTTGAGAGGATTATCTTCAAAAAATTGCGGATGCACCTGATTTGTGATTGTCATCAGTTTGTGTACAATCGAGCCTTTGCACCCGGAATAACAAAACCATCTCTAGTGTTAAGCAGCACAATATGATCTCAAAATCTTGACCGTTTATCTTTACTTTTGTTCATGTTGTATCAACATAGGTATCTAGTTTGGATAAACTAACAATTCTGTCTTCCAGGGGAGGCATCCATGTTTGGCTCCTCCGAAGTCCATTGTTGAACACATAGGAACGACGACTAAAAAAGCAGAGATGAAGTGCTTGTATGGACACCTTTTTCATAATTCCGAAATTATTCCAATGTTCCCGAAGGCTTTTCACGAGATCTTTTCGATGATACAAAAATCAGAACGAAGAAATATAGCGCAATTGTGTGAACTGTCACATCAAATCCATTGCATTATTTCTTAAAACAAAATAATCTGGAAGTCTTATCGGATATATATCACTCGTCAATAATGGTACACGAGATAGAGTGGGTCAAAGAGAAAGGTGTATGATTCATGTGTTTGGTAATCAGACCAAGAGAACTCCAAGTTTGTACGCTGTTTGGATTACGTAGCCAAAATTCGCTATGTTACGTCATGGTCATGTGGACAAGCGACTTTCTCTTCCGTTAGCCAGGGGAGTTTGAGAGCTGGGATCAGTTTTCTGCGGTTGCCAACCTCCGAAACCGTATTGCTCTCGAGGGTGTGTGGTGAGACTCGATAAATGATTGTAAATGCCGAGCACAGGTCAACCAAATGCCCCGTCTCGATAAGATGAACAACAGCCAAGCTGGATTTGAAATGATCCAGATTAACGCATAACATGGCATGTTCGAGTTGTTTCCCGTCATTGCATTACATTACAATGCATGGTTTGCCTCCTTCACCGTCAGTTAACGTAAGTAGAACTAAGAGTGGCATGGCCACTTCATTGAAGATATAGGTAAACAGTTCGTCGCCGTCATTAACATGAGCTTGAAGTATTGTGGTTGTGATAAGCCCACTTGTTGCATATAAAAGCGAGTGAGTGAAGCATGAATTCGTATCTTGGAGTAATTTGAAGCAGTCTGGAATTCAGTTGTCAGCCTATGTGTGCGACTCGGAAAATACGATTCATCATGGGTAGCTAACAGACAACTATTGTTCGGTCCCGGAAAAATATCCATAATATTGGACAAAATGTTCCTTTAGGTGGATTTTAGTATCGGTTTGATCGGTCACTACCCACCTCCTGAAAAATGATTTGATCATTATATATTCAACAATTGGAAAAAGAGGAATACATAATAAAAAGCTATAGGAAATATGATATAATTTCCCACCGGGAAAAGGCGTGAACTAGGACGAACTGCAGTGAAAAACAGAAAAGTTATTCAAGTTTTCTGTACAGGTTGGTGTCCTAGTGTACTAGTTCGTTATTTTATAGTATCGCTAAAAGCTGTCCTCCGTATCAATATACTTATCACGTTTGACACGAGGTGTATTGAA